GAGAGAGAGAGAGAGAGAGAGAGAGAGAGAGAGAGAGAGAGAGAGAGAGAGTGTGTATATGTATGTGTTTGCCTGTATTTCTGAGAGTAACGGTATCTTACATTTCAGACCACCACAAAACAGGCTTCCTTTGGGTAGGTTCTTGTTTTAAAGCATTTCTATGTTCAGTTTTCCTTCAATAATCTTGAGGCAGCGTGGTGAAATCAGGCGCTCGTCAAAACAGGCAAAGCAAAGAAACTGGCTTTTTTCCGGACGTCGGACTATTTATTTTCAAATGTTTTTTGGGGCTAAAACACATTTCATGGCCTTTAAAATCATTTTTTTAGTGTGGACGATACAGAAAAACGAAGAACACAGGCACCAGATATATAAATGTCCTGTTTCTGGGGACACTGAAGCTTTGGAAGTCACTAAACTTTGGCAGCCATTTTCTAGCTAATTTTACCTCTCACACAAGGCTACCCCCCACCTCCTTCAATCGCAAAAATCTTGACTTCTATTCAAGATAAAGGGGTATTTTTTTCGCCTAGGGCAAGACGAACGAACAAGCTTTAAGATGATACAATAATTTCACATGCCCAAAAATTGAAGAGCGCCTGATTCCACCCATTGTCGTGACACAATTGTGAAGAATTGTCCCTGTACTGGCTGTGGTTTCAGCTCGTGTGGATGGAGAGCCCGACCAACCCTCTAATGAAGCTCATAGACATCCAGGCAGTCTGCAACAGAATCAGATCTATCACGTCAGATTGGACAGAGAAGCCGATCATAGTAGTTGACAACACTGTGATGTCTTCTTACTTCCAGGTAAGACAAGGAGCACATGGATCTTTTCAACGAAAATTTGCTGAAGTCTCTTTTTCATTCTCTACACTTTTAACTAAAGTGATGATCAATACAACGTCTCTATGAATTTATTAGATCTAGTTAATAGCCACATCACTTTATTTTATTTACAGCAAATTGATTATTGATTCCCCCATCTTTTATACCCTCATTTACTTTACTTTGCCAACCAACCAACCAACCAACCAATCAACCAACCAACCATCAAACAAACCAACAAAACTAGTCAACCAGCAAACCAATCAACTAACCAACAAACCAACCAACCAACTATCCAGCCAGCTAGACAACCAACCAACCCATGAACCATAAACAAATGAAGCAACGGTCTAACCAACCAACAAATCAACCAACCAGCCAACAAACAAACCAACCAACTATCCAGCCAACAAGCCAACCAACCAAATATCCGGCTGTTCTACCAAGACAATCGTTCCATTACGTCTATTTAATTGTATTTTTCAGAGGCCACTTTCTCTCGGAGTAGATATCGTGATGCATTCCCTGTCCAAGTACATGAACGGTGCGTGGTGGTCAATGTATGTGTGACTATGCGCTGTGTAGTGTTGGAGGTTTGATGTGTAGTGTTTGACTCATGCTTGCTGTTTCTGAGATCCTGTGACAGGGATCTCGAAATTCTGGGCGTGTTTAGTAATAACTTTATGATTTAGGCAAAGAATTACTTCAGTTTATTTATTTTTTTGTTTGTTTAGTAGAGGTTTTACGGTGCTCGCAACTACATAAGGTTATATGAGCGCCAAATTTTACTTCAGTTTGACAATTTTCCTCTTTCTGAAAAATTTGTGTTCCAATACAAAAGTCATTCCGATTTTCAAAAGATATTACTCTTTGCATTTTTGCTTTAGAATATTATGTGACAGACTTACGATTTCATAATTTTGTCCGCTGCTGATTAAATATAAATTAAAGTACATGAATGGCATTTCAAAGTTTATGAAAAGGCAGGAAGAGGTTTTATCATTCACTTGTGTTGGAATAAACTCTTATCTGTTGCACTCAAAGGATGTGAGTTTGATTTTCACTTGAGGAAGTTTGTTTCTCTGTGTGACTCTGTCTTTGTGTTTGCGTCTCTTGCAAGTGTTTGTTTCTCTGTAGGCCACAGTGATGTCATCATGGGAGCCCTGATACTGAGCAACGAGGAAATCTACGAAAAGCTGAAATTTTTCCAGATGGGTGAGTACAATTATCTTCCAGCCATTCTGAAAAAGTCCATAGATATATTAATAAATCAACAACCAGTTTCAAGGAAAGACCAGGAAATGAGTAAAAGTATTTTTTTTAGTGCCTATTAATTCAATCATGTAAATGAAAAAAAAAAGTATTTTTTACTGGCTGCAATGAATTAGTTGAACTAAGAGGAATCTAACTGCTCGCAGCTTTTAAATGCACTGCAAGAGCTACAAGTAATTGTAAAAATTCACAAGAAAGTGATTTTGTCCTCAAACGTAGTTAATAATGTGAGGATAACTCAAGTTTAGCATGTCGATATATTGTTTGAGGTGTGGGGGAAATGTAAGGTCACGGAAAGACTAATGAATTAGTGGATGAATTACTAAGTAGGTGATTTTATTCATGAATGAAATGGGTGTTACTTGATTTTCATCTATCTGTCTATGCCAAAGCAAACTGAATTAATGCACCGTATTCATGGGGAGTGCCTGGCAATAGAGACAAACCTATTGTTTCGTCATAATTTCTCTTTTTGAAAATCGTCTTTGTAGAAGATTATTATTATTTATAAAGTTTTCAGTCTGTCTGTATGCAGATTGCTCTACCTTGATAGGAAAACACTTGTCTCTTCTCTTCCTGTTTGTCTCTCTTTGTCTCTGTCTCTGTTTCTGTCTCTGTCTGTCTGTCTGTCCCTCTGTCTGTCTGTCTGTCTGTCTGTCTGTCTGTCTGTCTGTCTGTCTGTCCGTCTGTCTGTCTGTCTGTCTGTCTGTCTGTCTGTCTGTCTGTCTGTCTGTCTGTCTGTCTGTCTGTCTGTCTCTCTCTCTCTCTCTCTCTCTCTCTCTCTCTCTCTCTCTCTCTCTCTCTCTCTCTCTCTCCCTCCCACCTTAGGTAAAAAAAACTCACCCTAGCCATATATTTTCTGTCTATAGCGGTTGGTGTGACATCCTCCCCCTTCGACTGTTACCTGGTTCTTCGGGGACTCAAGACTCTGCACGTACGTATGAGAGAGCATGAGAAAAACTCTTTGGAGGTCGCCAGGTTCCTGGAACAACACCCGTGCTGTGTCAAAGTCAATCATCCAGGTCAGTTGTACAGACAAGATATTTATACACGAATTAATTTGTTTAAAGTTTCAGTTTTTGATGTGATTTTTACTGTAGTTAAAAAAACTCAGATAAATCCAAAACTGTGAATTGTGATTTCCTACTACTTGCAAAAATCACTGTTTTAAATCCACAGTTTATATGACCGGAATTCACTTTAATTATCCAAATGGTCATATTTAGACATCTGTGTACTTTTTCAAACTTTACATCTATATATGCATTCAAATTTTGCAATTCGTTTTTCTGAAAATAGATATATCATTTGTGATTAATCCTGTTGTTCTCATGTAGTCTTTAAATAAAACTTATTGTTTTCTTTGGTTCCCGACTTTCTGCCTGAATCGCACAGGATCTGATACGGGGTCATTTGGTTGCAAAAAGTAATGTTGTCCAATTTCATAATTCAGGCACAAATTTGAAGACTGAAAGCTGAACGCACTATCATGTTAGGTTTCTAGATAAACCTGTGAATGGCTGCCGGAAAAGCAGATACAGTAACAAATGGCCCTGACCAGATATTTAGACAAGTGGGCCACTCGTGTTTGGATCTGCAAACGACTAACCTTATTTCACAGTGGGTTCTGCTAGGCTCACAGAAAAATGGTCGCTTTTAAAGACAAGTGGGATAACCCAGATTTCATTGGTTTCCAGAAATCTTGACCTACACCAAAAGTGGGCATTGCCTTACCTATTGGAGAAGTTTGGTTTCATTAGTGTGTACATTTGCTTGGTTATAAAGAAAACTCTCCTTGTCTTTTAAAGAAATTGAACAAAGGGGAAAAACGTTACCTTCGATTTTCTCAAACAACTTTTTTCGGGATAACTCTCTTGTGCTTAAAAACAACCAAATACGCCCAGGATCTCATTTTTTGGGGGTATTTTTAATCTTCTTCCAAAAGGTCTACCTTCCCATCCACAATACGAGCTTGGAAGACGACAAATGGACGGTTATTCTGGGGTGCTGTCATTCTACATCAAGGGGGGACTGGACGATGCGAAGCGATTTGTCAGCAAACTAAAGGTAAGGCGCATCTATAAACGCTTTTGAGGAAGAAAAGGAACCACTTTCCTTTGTCAGTTTGAAAATTCAGGGTACATTAGAATGTACTCAAATGTTTAAAGAATATTAACAGTATACAATGCAAATACAACCGAAACAAATGTTTTCATTATTACAGGTCGCTGCAAAAGATTGTTTAAACTGACAGTTCATGTTTTTTGCTCTTGCACACACCAAGTACTATCCAATCCACTTTGCCTGACCATATTTTAGTATCATAAGTCATAAGTGAAAACTACTCAGCCACTGAGTCCCCTTCGGTGTCAGACGAATTTTGCTTTCAAGTCCTGTTGAAATTGTGCTTTTCAAAATGTGCTTTACTTCAGAAGCCGCCTCAGTTCTTATTGGAAGTATTATGTAAGCAAAGATCGGCGCCTGTAGTTTATTGGTTGGACTTTTCATTGTTGTTCACAGATTACATGAGCCTGATTCCATTAACCTCTTTACTGCTGAGTAGACGTATATTCTGGCTTGTAATCTCCACTTATATTGTTTCATCTGGTTGACAAAAGAAGTTGTAGTTGGTATAGTTACAGCTTGTGATTTTGCTTATTCTGAAAAAATTCTCTGTGTTTAAATATTCCTTAAATTAATATTTTATCTTGACTATACAGATGTTGATGGAAACTTTTCAACAGTGAAGGGGTTATGGTAAAAATATATAATGTATCTTATCAAGTGTGCTGGGATCTTGTATGCCACTCTGCTCAGCTTGTGTGGGTCGTGACAAGTAAGGTCAAGGCAGTTTTCCTCCTAAACAATATAATGTACTCTACTGATGAGGCTGTAGAACATTTCCAAAGGTTTACCTGCAAAAAGCAGTAAGTTTCAGATGTATTCCGCAGCTTCAAAGACAAAACTGTATAATTACCTGGTTATGTGTTTTAGTTAATGAAATTTTGGCTTCCTTGTCTTCATACTACCCATCCCTCGCATGAACTGAAATGTATTTACTGTCAACTTTTTGCCCAACACTTTACTTCCACTATGGAAAAATACTACATTCTGTCTGCAGGTTTAGCAAGCTATTTTGGACTCTGTCACACTTTTGGTTGTTTTTTTAGCTTTATTTGTTTTGGGTGGGTTTTTTAGTTTTTATCTGCATGAATGATTCTCAAAGTGTGATGCTTGTTTTTGTTGTGTTTTTTTTGCTCAGTTGGTCTTGTTAGTGGGGATGAATTTTTTAATATCTTCTTTTTTGGAGGGGGGGGGGGGGTTCCTGTTGGTTACAGCCTTCACAAGTGATCTTGATACTGTTGATGGGCATGGAAAATATTTAAAATGAAAGCTACCTCTTACTTCAAACATATAAAATGGCTTTATGGAGATAGTCGACAGCTGTTAAAATGGAAAATGAAATTCTCAGTAGAGTCCTATGGTTCTCTTGTTAAACTAACACATGCACTCTTTTGTCTGTGTATCTCCAGCTCTTCGCATTTGCTGCTAGTCTTGGAGGATACGAGAGTCTATGTGAAATTCCGTAAGCCACAAACATTCACATTTAAATGTAAGGTTTTAAATGATTTCTGTTGGGAGATATGTTTATAACCATCAGTACAAGTAACGTAATATTGTCCCCCGCTCCAAAATTTAAAAAAAAAATATTTTAAAAAATGACATAATAATCTCATAATATGTATTGCTTTTTGTTCTCTTATTGTTTAAGCTCCCACAAAAAAAACAACAACAAAAAACCGATATGGAGCGAGATATTCCCATGGAATTATGCATAAAAGGGTCCAGATATAGCTGAATTAAAAAAAAAGAATATTATGATGGATTTGAAAAAAAAATCTTCTCTTGTTTTGCTTTTTAGATCTTCCAACAACGTCATAATTAAGTAGTAATAATAAATAGCACTTGTATAACATGTGTCCCCACTCGAGAGCAAGCTCTATGCGCTGTACGCTATATTATTACCAAAGCAGACCATAGTACTCTCAGAAACATTATCAGCTTTCCGGGAAGCATGTAGATACTTTGTGTTATAGGAACATACAATTGAAACCAGGAAATTTTTAAATATAAATATTCACTCTTTGTAATGATAATAATATTCTCTCCAAGAATGACGTTCAGCCAACGCCACACCCCTGCGGGACAGAGGGAGACCACGGGGATCACCCAGTCTCTGGTGCGATTGTCTGTCGGTCTTGAGGACGTCAAGGATCTCAAGAGGGACATAGGACAGGCTCTGGACTACATGGTGGGTCATGGAAGGGTTGAGACAGTTTTTTTCATCGAAATTTGTACGCTTATACATAGTCATGGAAGGGTTGACACTGTTTTTCTCATATAATTTTTACTCATATAGATAATCGTGGAAGGGTTGAGACTGTTTTTCTCATAGAAATTTTGAACATATACATCTAGTCATGGATGGGTTAAGACTGTTTTTCTCATAGAAATTTTTATACATATACATGGATATTATATATGCATAATACTTTGTTTTACATTCAAGCATGTCGATTAATTTTTAAGATGTGATGTCTTTTTCGATGTAATGCGCATTGAGCATTTTTTAGAAAATGGAAATGCGCAGTATAAATGATAATTATTCTTATTAAGACATTGAGGAAAAATATACGAGACAGGTTAGGCTTGGTCAACCTTGTGCTTGTTTGTTTTAGTAGAGGTTTTACGGCGTTCGAAACTGCATAAGGTCATATGCACGCCAAGGGGTGGATGTTAACAGAGAAGTCCTTACAGGGAATCAGACTTACTCTGCTCACCTCTCTAGCTTCAACAGCTTAAAGTCTGCTTCGACTATCATGGCTACCCGGAAATAGCGGGTCACAAGAGTGTGACAAACATACACAAGAAGTAGAGGACAAATGATGCTAGTAAGGATTGGGATAGAAAAAGCAGCAGTTCCGTGTTGTAGTTCTGGCACAGTTATGAGCATGACATTGTTGGATCAGCCCATTTACAATTACAATTCTACTGTGCATAAGAACTCGAGATGTTCAACTTAATGTGTCCCCCCCCC